GATTATACAAGAAGATATAAAAGGAATATTTAGTCCTTAACTCTCTTTCTGCCGTCGTAATAAGCTCCCCTATATGAGAGGTCGTATATCTGAATTCCTCAACTAGAACTGATGATCAAATGGAATTAAGAAATTTCTTAAGATTTCTAATAAGGGCCAATCAGCAGTGAACAATCAAATGGCGGCGCCTTATGTTATTAGCAACAACCTCCTGAAGAGATATTAATCTGTCCTACTCCATATCTGGCAAAATGAACAAATTGTTTAATTACTAAAAAAGAAACCCAAGTGAGAGGACAATTAATATCTAAAGTACATAGCCCATAGGAAAACGACTCAACCAACAACCACAACTAAATGGTGGCACAAAAAATGTCCCCAAAAGAGACCAAAGGATATAGATACTTTACCAAAACTCAATCAAATCCAAAATAATAAACAAGAATGATAATCCACAACCGACTAAACTGAGTCTTAATAATGCCCCCGATACCAAACGAAAACATCTCTTCCAGACCCCCAAATCTCAAGGTCCTGAACTATATGTCTCTGATGCAGGTGAAATCTAGAAACACCAACGACACTCCATTCCATAAATAGAGAAGTATCACAAGGACTTTATCAGCATCTCATGTAAGTCAAATTAGCGGTTAAATTAGTTATCAGGAAAGCAAGGAATCCTACTATTATCAATAATCGCGGCCCGAGCTTCTTCAGAACAACCAGGACACAACACACACCCCCAAGGGAAAAGGCAGGAACACTCATAAAGGGATAACCTCCACAAGGCTACCTCAAGCTCACCAAAGAATTCAAATCGTATCGTATTAAATGAAATCTCCCATCTACAACCAGTCCAGTAAATGCCGAAGTAATTTCGTCTGAAATCAGCCTCCAAAACTAGGATCACGGACGAAACCCTCCCCCCAGAATAGAAACGAGCGCCCTATCAACAGTCAGGACATCCACAGGTCAACCCCGCCCCAAGGATTAATCCCAAAATCACATGCCCCAAGTGGATAAGAGTGACTATCTTCAAATAGGGGACCGGATTAAACAGGACTAGGCAGTAAAATCCAAGACAAATCCAAAACAACAGGGGAAGCACTATGAAGAAATATAATGTAAGAAACCCACCCGAAAGAAACAACCAGAAGAAGAAAAGCGCCAAAGGACGTGCATATGTGTCTCCAACATCACAAGACCCCCCTCCCCTCCTCCAAAGGAAAAAATAACCCCAACGGGGGAAACCCCCCCCCCACCCAGGAATAATTACCAACCCAAGTCAATCTAAGAAGTAAGAGGCGGCGAATACATGCAATGATAGTAAACGAATTAAGCAACAGAAAAAAAAAAAGATTCCTAGGAATGAGATATAACCAACCCAACAAACACCAGTGAGGACAAGACAGCCAGGCAATAGGAGCAAGACTAGGAGGAATAAGGTCACCCGAAGAACAGAGCTGAAGACAAACAATCAATCAGCCAATCCACCCACCAACTCCTCCCTGGTTAAATAAGATCAAAGAAGTAAGCCCAACGGCACATTAGGAACCTCACACCACAATAACGTTGAGGACAAAGTAAATTCATGATCAAAAAGCAAAAAGAAGAACATAGGTCAACATCTTAGTTTAAAGAGAACCAGAAACCCCGCAGATCAATTCAAAGACTACATGTAATCCCCCCCAAGGGACAGACCCCACTGCCTAGCGACAAGTACATCCTACAAAGTAAATTCAGAAAGTATGGACCCAATCTTCAAACAGACGCGAAGAAACTTCACCCCCAAGCAAATAGCCGGAGAATTTCGAAACATCGACACTGGTACTATATGAGTAAATAAAACCCCAAGTAAAGAAAGCCCTCTCCAGCCTCAAGCACCAAGAGAAGTAGCGTCAAAGTACAAGCTCTAGCAGGAGGCCGAGCTGGCAATTCAAAGCAAGTCACGGACAGATCAAGATAAAGTCAAAAGGAGGAATATGGAGATCCGGAAATCTGCAGTCGAAAAAGAATATCGCGTAAGAGGAGTCTAAACATCAACTCCAAGTCAGGGCCTCTCCAGGAGCCTTAGAGGAACTCTTTATCGAGGAAGGGACAGTACCTCCGAAAGGAGCCCCTCAAAACGGAACAGGAGTCTTAACCCCAGTTCATTTAAACACCAAGGGAAGAAAAAGCGAAGAATCAACTTCCGTCCGACCCATCTCAGTCTAACTCTCCCCTAACAACAATCTCCCCCCGGAATTCAGGCAGAAGGAAGCAAAAAGACGAAATCTCAACGTCAGGAGCCCAACCAGGCACAAGCACGGATAGATGTCTAAGTATGCGAAACCGAGCCTAAGATAAACACAACAAGTACAAACCGCAAGAGATTCCCTAGTCAAAAGCAGAATGAATCCAAGAGGATAAGTAACTCTGACCCAAATAGAACAGGAAGAGAAGAATATATCAGTGAAAAATCCCAAGCGAAAGGACACCCAGGAAAAGATAAGCTAGAATTCCGATTACAGAATCGAGGAAGAGAAAGATCGGATCAAGCTAAGCCAAGTCAAGAGCAATCCAAGCTACAAGATGTAATGATTACTAAAGCAAAAAAACAGAACACGACGGAACCAAACAACAGCCATTTGGACTCAGGCGCCTTAGTTTAATCTCAGCCATCGCACGGGTCGAAGAAGTCGAAACTCCAAGAGAATCCCGAGGATCGACCAAACAGCGACCGCGGCCATCTCCCCCAAATAATAAGCTTAAGAACGGATCAGCAAGTCTAAAGGACAAACAGGGTAAGCCAAGTGTCATACTGAAACGATAACGACGAAATTGCTGAGTATAAGTGAGAGCCGGGCGGATCAAATATCAAAGGGGAAACATTGAAGGTATGAAGAGGACACACAAAGTAACCTCAGAGTGGCAAGCCTACGGACAGAAAATTCTAAACCTGGGACAGAGAAAAACAGAATCTCCCAAGGAAGTCAAAAGAGGAAACCCCCCAGATGATCATCACAAGAAAGCTCCTTCGTGAGCAAGTTAGGAGCTTGAACTACCCCCAACAGAAAACAGACCAAACGGAGTCATACGCGGAACAGTAAGGGAGGATAAACCGATGATCCCGGACAGGGAACTAGCGTGCAGAGTTAAATTTTAAAGAGGGGAGGACTTCATAAATAACATGCTACCAAGGAATGACCAAGTCGTCTAAAGTAACTCCCCCCCGGCAGCATCCTAACTTCCACCTCCCTAAGAATATCAACCACACGTCCCCAAACATAGTACGGACTAATGAGCCTCAGCCGAAAGGGCCGAGTCTAACGACGGGACGAATCAATTATTGAAGATCCGAGAATATCCAAGAAGGAAGTCCATAATATCGGATAAATAAGTCGAAGGATCCGCCATGTGCAACTCAGACATCAAGGACTATCTAACCATCTGACAGTCCCCTGAAGACAGCCGCAGCCAGAATTGGAAGCAGCCGAAAGGCTTAGATATTCGGAGCTGAAAGTATCTATCTCCTCTAGACGTCCTGGATCAAACACTAAGATCAGATTCCCTCTGCTGTCTGAGAGACCTCAATCAGGCGCCCAGAGTGACTCCTTTTCCTAAAAAACAACAAGTCCCCACAGAAGGCTCCAGAGTCCCGGCCGAGCCTATACTATAAGCAGGAAATAGGATTCCGAGATTATAATGAATCACTAAGGCAGACGGACCAGGGAAAGAGGAAGAATCTGCAGTGGACAGAGGCAGCTGAACGACCCAACAACAGAGAGGTTATGGAATGGTAGGATGGAGGAAAAAAAGGGTGCCACTACTGAGACAGTATAATCGGGATAGAGGAGCAAGAACAATAATAAGCAGAGGCGTCAGAACAACGATGAAACAGGTCAGGGGGGATCCACTACAGCAGATAAAACACTTCCTGAACGGACCAACTGACTGAAAAAGTCAAGCGAGTACCAAGAGCAACTAAAGTCCCGAAACAGAGGAGTAAAAGGCGAGGGCTCCAAGAAAGATCGAGTGTTTAGAGAAGAGGACGAGTCTAGAAGTAGGGCGAAAGACAGGTTCCCCAGGTCAGAACGACCAAACTAAAAAACACCGCCAGGAATAAATCAGAGGCGTCTTGTCCCGACATACAAGGAGCAAAGCAACGAAGAAGGAAGAGATGGTAGAGGCGTTAGAGTTGAGCCAACAACTCCAAAAGCGAAAGCATCGCAAAAGGCCAACCCGGCAGGGAGGAAATCGTCTAGTGAAACCACGGCCGGCACTAGAAAAATAAAGGCCTGAGCTGATGATATATGTCGCAAAGGATCACCCCTCACTCAAGGCTGAAATAACAGACAGCTATTACCCGGCCGCGCGGCCAAGGGGCTGCTTAGTGAGTCCTGAGATTCGTACACCATGAACTTCTGAAGCCTGAGCGTCTCCCATAGGGAGCCCCAGCATCGCCGACAAATTCAAATTCTCGAAGTCGACATTACAGGGAGTAGTCAGCCGCAACCAGTTCAAAGAAATAAGTCACCAGCCCTAAATGGGGAATCTAGACCAAGGGGGCATGCAAAAAATTCAGTGGGCAAGGTCCAGGGAACGGCAGCCACAACAATGCGGCGGAGAAGGAGATGCCTTAGGAGACCACTCACTTCCTTAGCAGGAGGTTGAACAGCGGAGGGAGGAGCAGAACCACAAACGGGAGGGATAGGAGGGACAGAGTAGCGGACAGTTCGGGGTGATAGCAAAATGAGAGACACTCACTCCCCTGCTAAAGAAGCCGATGACGGAGTGGATGAGGGTATCTTCCGTGGAACCTCTCAAGGGAGACAGACTCAAATCGACCAGAACTAGGAACTCAACCTCCAAGGATCCCCAAACTAACAACCCCGGCAAGACGACTTGGAAGGGTATGAGAGGTGACTGTAATGAAGAGGGGCCTAACTTAAGGTTGAGCTTTGTGAGAACTAAAAACCGAAGAAGCAGAGTCATTGAATCGCGAGTAGGTACCTGGCCCAATGACAGTAGAAAGAAAATGGCTGGTTCTCAAGGATGCCAGCTGGAAGAATAAATATGCACCAGCGGGCAGCGGAGATTGTGACCCAGACAACAACTTGTATTGTATACGACAATACCAAGGAGGAGGAGGGGCAAGGCAAGGTTTCCTAGGGAGAATAGGTCAAGCTATGGATACAGCCCGGAAAAGACTGCCCTGGAGCCAGCTAATGCACCGGAACAGTCCACTAAAGGGGTATATATTGGGAGCATCAAGCGAAGAGTATGACTGGAAGGGGCTTTTAAGCTGTGTAGTATCTAAGGCAGTAGGAATAGATAAAATCGAGGTGGAAATAGGCAGCAGCGTGGAGGAGGTGTGGAAGGAAGACAATTGGTCAGAGATACTGAACAATGGTACCAGCAAGAATTGGTCAAGCTCAGCGGCAGGCCAAGGAGTCTTCGCGGCAGTGGCATGTATAGTTGCAGCTCTGATGGTGCAACCGACCAACAAGGAGCTGCATAGGGCCCCTCTGAAACAACTCTGCGAGGAGGTATGGAAACCAGCAGCGATAGAGTTGAAAGAAAAGGAATCTGAAGACAAGGACCTGGAGATAAAAGGGTTAGAGCAACTTCTGACGAAGGTGGAGGAGATAGGAACTACCGGAGCTTCCAAATATACTGGTCTTGGGTTCCTTTTGAGTATATATTATGGGTTGAGCAGATGTTGTTCCTATGGAAGAAGTTATGAGTTGACAGGATTAGTCAGGAGGGGGACGTATGATTTAGGATCAATGGGGGCATGTCACCTAAGGGACGGGACCTTCTCTTGCTCAGGGGGAGATGGGGGCACAACTAAAGATCGTCTCAACATATGGACAAAGGGGAAGGGATCACTGGTTGGGGTGGAAAGGAGAAAAAAGAAAACTCTAATAGTGATACCCAAGGGGGGGGAAGCAGGAGACAAGCGGCAGCTAGAACAAATAAAGGACAGGGAACGGGAGGCCATCCAGAGGGCGAAGGAATTAATGGACGCTATGGACAGGAAGGATACCAACACAGGGATAGTGGCCGTCTCAGGAAAAGTCCAACATTTGACGAGCCAAAGTATACAGACTCCATCCAACAGGACAACACAACCCTCTTCCTCTGGACAATCCCCACCCGTCACAAAACCCCAGACGCAAGGAACATTAAAGACTCCCCCCCCTAAGGAGGACGAGGAATCACAAGAGGAGGGATTAGAGGAGAGGGCCTCCAGCGTCCACATCCATCACGAGAACAGGGGGCAAGACCGAAATCCGATAGACTCTTTAAAGCCCGCTGATCAACTACCAACCAGAGCCCACGACCTTGACGAAACACAAGCCCGAAAGGATCAGGAACCTTCCCCCTGGAAGACAGGCCTAACCCCCCCCCCCCTCCAACAGCCCGGGCAGGCTAGTCCGGGGGGGATAGTGGGGGGAGTCTTAGCAGGTCTGCTGGCAATGGGAGGTTTATATGGTATGTACCGAGTATTTAGAAGAGGGGCTGGAGGTGGAAGGAGCAGTGTGTCACGAAACCCAGGAGATAGGACAGGCATAGCCTATACGAGGAGCTGCCTAAATCACTAAGAAGACAACCCCAGGACCTCCGGAGGAAGATTATGCTTCAGCAACCCCGTCAGCAACGAGCGACCCTGGTTCAGGCCAAGCAAGAAACAGTCAGTCAAAATCGGACCTCCACCATGAGAGTAGAAGCGGAATGTGACCAATCAGCCCCCCTGAGGAGCTTAATCCCAAGGAAAGGGAGAATCCGCGCCTGACCCCCTTCGTCAAGTCTCCAAGAACGTGTGATAAGTCTCGGGCAATTCAATCTACCATCGCAGCGCTAGTATTGCGGATACCCACTCAACTTATCGTTCACACTATTTCTATGAACAGTGGGTCTCACGAGACTCTGAAATCTCTCCGCAGAACCAGCCCGAGGAGGGTTACACCCCCAGCTCCCGGCTTAAGGAACCAGGAAGTTATTTGACATGAAAACTGACGCCCCGGCGAACCTCACGCCAAGCGCAGCCGGCACTATTTTGGGCTTAGAAGATGGGAGTATGGCGAGGTATTAGGATTGAATAAGATGATGGAGCAGGAAGAAATTCACCCGAACCGCCACCACGACAGATAGGATATGTGTATCTCCTGGGACCGACCCGAGGCCTGAGCTGTCCGTCTCTAAGGTATGAATTTGGGGTCCGGTCCTGAGGTCTAGTTCTAGGGGATGGGGAATGTGACAAAGAAGCTGAGCCTTACATGGCACGCCTGATTGCTAACTCCGCGTTACCCGTCGGGGATTTAAATTCCGAGTCCGGGATTGGACCATCAGACTTAAGGGTTCAGGGATCCCGGTTTAGACTGCCAATTCGACGTTTAGGGTATGGTTTAGGTTTTAAGCTTCCGAGTCTAGCAGACGGGGTTTAGGATTGAGGGTTAAGGGTTCAGGGTTCAGGGGTCAGGATTGCTTTAGGGTTCAGGGTTTAGGGCCTTAGGGTTTCATGGTTTAGGGTTTAGGGTTCAGGGTTCAGGGTTTCAGGTTTTAGGGTTTAGGGTGTCAGGGTCCAGCGTTCAGGCTTAGGGTTTAGTCTTCATGGGTCATGTTTTAGGGTTCGAGTCAGGGTTTCTGGTTTAGGATTCAGGGTTTTAGTTCTAGGGTTGAGGTGGTATGCTTCATGTTTTATTTTTAGGGTTTAGGTGTCTGGGGTCCCGTGTCAGGTTTTTCCTTAGGGTTCAGGCGGTAGGACTATGGGTTAGGGTTTTGGAGTTAGGCTTGAGTTTTAGGTGATAGGTTTTATGTTTCAGGGTACTGAGTTTGGGAGTGAAGGTGTAGGGATCAGGGTCTATGTTCCAGATTTCAGGTTTTGGGTTTAGGCTTAGGATTCGGGGGTTAGGTCTTATGGTCCAATTCCTGGCTTCAGGGGGGATGGTGCTTGAGGTTCTATGTTCCTAGGTTTCATATTTCAAGGGTTATGGGCTACTTTTACCGTTCAGGAAGTAGATCACAGGAATCAGTGTTAGGGGGTATTGTCTAGGGTACATGTTTCAGGGTGCATGTCTCAGGGATTAGTTCTCCGGGTTTAGTTTTTAGGTTTTATGGATTAGTCCTTAGGGGGTAGGTTTTACGGTCTAGGGGTTAGTTTTAAGGCTCACGGTTTATGTTTAGGGTTCAGGGGTAGGCTTTAGGGTTGGCTTATTACTTTCCTCGGCTAATGGTTTTGATGGTATTTTTTATCTTGTAGAGGTACTCCTGTATCCTTCAGCTTAGGAAGCATACTTGTGAGTAGGTATTTTTTCCAAGGGCTGGGCCAGGGATTACGTGTACGGTTGAGGGATTGTCTCCATTTTTTGGTTGTTTTATTTGCATCTGACGTTCCAGGGGTTACCTTGGGTGGGAATTTTTCTTGCTGGTGTGTTTTTCATTATTATATATATTGGTTCAGTCGAACGATATGTCGTATTAACATATCCGCAGATATGGCCACTCGGGATGGAAAGGTGATATGTTTTCAGTTTGAAGCAAGAATCATACGCTAAATCCTATCTGTATCGGCTATATTAAAAATATTTGACCCCACAGGCATATACTCCTGTAGATAATACTTGTATTGTGCCTATAAACCTTCGGGTTTGTTCTGCCTCAGGCTGGGCACTATGTATTTCGAAGGTTCAAATGTATTAATGCATCAGGTGAGGTCTCAATAATAATACACTACTCTGCATAATTTACTTTACACATATAGGTGTTTCGTATGTTATTGCAATGATCTTTTCGTCATGGTGGATTTGTATTTATATTCTTTTGTGTTGTAGGTTTTAATACCTCAGGAGAACACCCTAGTTATTAGATAAGTAGAGACAACCTACTTTGGGAATCAATGTGTTATCGTCCTATATTAAAACTATAATATTAATACAGAATCATTGCTGTTGCTTGGTAAATCCACTCTGCTCGGATAAATTGATAATATAGGATTCAATACTAGAGCTGACTGTAATATAACCTTTCAGGTGCCTGCTCAGCAATCAAAAGAGGAAGATGTCTATAATAAGATCATTTTCTCCTTCCTGTATGAGAATTGTTTGCCCCATACAATTCATATGTACATATTACTTCGACGAAACTATATCTTGCTTTCAGTTGAGAGGCATAGAAACAACAGAGATGAATTTAATTATTACCGCAAACAAAGAATTACAACTGTAGCCGTGATAATTTATGGCATGCTGTATGATATGATCTATGATGCATAAAGGAATTTATCATATTGTGATAAGCACTGATATTAAAGTACAAAATGTTTATTAATACCAAGAACCTTCTTGTTTTTACTTTACACAGAGACTCGTAATTCTATCTTTGAATAATAAAAAATCCTAATAAGTATATGGATCCATTTATATATG